ACAAACATACTAATATGCCCAAAAGTCATCACAGTGGAACTGAATGAAATGTTTGAACAGTGAAGATATCCAAGGAGCGGCCACCATGGTCCAAGGATCTGTGTCTTGCACACATCATCAACTACCATTACTGTACTGTGTTACAGGATAACAAAAACTGATTCCCATAAAGAATTACCGACACCACTTGAAAGTCTCACTGTAATGTAACATCAATTATTAGTTTATGGCCAACATCACCTTGAGCAACTAATGGAAGATAAAACTGGCTGTTTCTTTCTCAATTACTACACTGTACTGTCTTTTACTGCACATTACCCAAATAATGTTGCAATTTATACAATCTCTCACTTATAAACTTTACCATTTTTAAATTAGTTCTTGTGAAACAAACATTTCCTTTCCTTAAACTCACCAACTCCAAACCCCTCACTCAGTGTACACTACACACCAACATCCTTCATACACCGGCTTGTTTTCCTGCATTGCACCACACTGTCACCCCTGTCAAAAATATCCTGGTGAATTTCTGAATTTAAATTTATATTTATCACTAAACATTCAAGTGTAATTTAACGAAGCTTCTTAACTCAATATGATGTTTCAATCTGAACCTTTCTGAAGTCATCTCTTACCCCATACTTGACACCCTTGAAATATGTTAAATGCTGGATAAGCAAATGTCACAAACCAAGTAAACTAGACAAAAACTATCTTATTACTTGTTCCAGGTACATTCCCAAGATGTCCTGCAGTTCTTGTTTCCTTCCTACACATTACCCCTTTTCAAACCAAACCAATTCAGCTAGACCGGGTTCACCAAGTCCCGCAAAGAACTAAAATCCATTACTTTCATACCCAATATCTTCAATCTGCCAGACTTTTTTCTTTTCTTTTTTTACAGTGCATGATGTTATTTTATGTCTTCTTTCAAGTACGGTAATTATTTATACCTTTATGTTTTATATGAGTTATAACAACATATTAATGCTACTCTATTGCCAACACAGAGACAATGTTTCCAGTATCTTTGAACCCTTACAGTTAACTCTTCCGATGCACAAAGAACACAAAATATGTATTTATTACAAGATGTTTTACAACTCATTCCCCTGACAAGTTTTTTTAATTATTCTAGTTTTCATAGGAATGACTCTGGGAATGATAAGAGAATCTACCAAAAGGTGGAGGAGAAGCCTCATGATAATATTTTCTTTCTTAATTGCAATTATGTCCATTGGTCTCATGCAATCAAGTTTCTAAAACCCAGTGACCTTTATAAGCAACCTAGAGATTCATTGAGTAATGCTATGGCACTTGCATACAATTGAGCCCAAAATCATAAGTGTTATACACAGTAAATCAGTATAAAAATTATACATAACTCAGATTGAGAATCCCTCAGTTATCTCCATCATTATGTACATTTGTGCATAACCTTGAGATAAAGAAAAGTTACCAAATCTATTAACGGAAGCTACTTTAATGCCAACAAAATATTTCAGTGGTCTAATTAGATTGAATTTATGACAGGAATAACCCACACAAGTTGGAAAATGGCCATAAAATGTTGATGATGATTATAACTGTTATCCTGTAACAAAAATGCACTCTTATGAAGTTGTGTTGCCATGACCCCATAAAGCAAGTGATACTGCATGGCTTTTTGAGCACTGGAACACAAAGGATTTGTTGCTGGGTTTCCTCTGTTTTCATGATTAATCAACAAGTATTGTGCTGTACACTGCTGAGGTTTCTAAAATTGTCTGTCAATGTAAGCATAAATCGTTCCCTTTATTCTGTTATAAATAATTACCAAACTCCCACCTGCTTCACTCAGCCAAAACAAGACAGAATCTGCCACCCGCCATCAGTCTCGTAACCTGGGATATGTTACGTGACTCTGCTCCTTGGAAAAACCTTGAATGGTAATTCTTGGTCAGTTCACCAGCCAAGATATATCCTGAATAAGAATAACCAAACTAATAATGCCTTCACAGTTAGAGTATAAGCTCACACACTAAATGATAATGCACAACAATAAATACCTTTATTATGACACATCAGTAATGCCCTTTCAATCATAATGAGTTTTGAATGAAAATATAAATTATTATAAAAGTTTTTTTAAAGAGAATGATAGGAATATGCAGCAAGACCGTCTGCACCACTTTGTGCGAACCTGACCAAAGTGTGCTTGAAAGACCACGTGCTATCAACACTCACTTACGAGTCTCTAATGATCTAAAATATATGGATTCTTTATTAACATATCTACAAGATGGTGAGGGAAATGATGAGGATCTCAGTTCAGTGGAGGTAAGGATTACATTGTTGCCATTGAGAGTAGTGTAATAACAATCTGACATACATCAGCAGTTAATAATGGCACATATTTGTACAAGTATCTATACAGTCTTGGAGTTATCAAGGCAAGATCACATTTACACACCGTGGAGGTGCAGTAGCAGCAGCAGCACTCATATTCTTCACACACTGGATGTACACAATCAGAATCTATATCCTTAATTCATTATATACACAAGAATCTTCATGGAATATTGAGTAAGTATTCTTCACTTGTAATAGTACGACGCAGGTTCCTCAACTATTATGTCGTACTATGCACATATAAGTTCAAAACTCATAATTGAGTAAGTTGCCAACATCTTGCAGCATGACTAGGGTTGGGCAGTGAATTGTGGTAGGCACAGCTCAGGAAAAAATCACCTGATTGTCCGTCAATCACCTTTTTCATAAATTACAGAAAGCTGGGCTGTCACCTCCAGTCTCTCATAAGAGTCTTCTACAACTGGCCAGAGAAATCCAGTCTTTGACCGTCTACTCAGCTTTATGTTCTCAAGGGTATGTATGACAAATCAAATAACATGGTAGCCCTAATATTTCTGCGGGCTGACGTACAGCTGCACAAAAATGTGAAGCTCGACATGAATTTTTAGCTTTTATGTTCTTAAGACTTAACAGTACTAGTGATTCTATATTTCTTTTAGATAATGAGTTACTAAATACATACCAGAGTATATTGTATATATGTAGTACGAGAAAAGAAATACCAAAACGTAACCTACGCCAATATATAGTGAGTTGGTAGCGTGCATGCCAGATCTTGTTCTACACATATGTCACGGGCTACTCTGGACAGGCAGTATACAACATATATCGGTTACAAATCTAAACTAGTCTTTGAGTCATTCACGCTTTGAAGATATGTAAAGTGTTTCTCGTGCTAGCGGCTTCTCGACGCACTCTGCCCGAGAATGCATACGTACACCAGGCTATCACTTGGGTAATCACAAGGGGTTGCTATGACCACCTTCAGAAAAACTCTCATTTTACTTGGAACCTGTATGCAAACATATAGCTTTCCCTTAATGTCAATATTTTCTGATATTTGTTATCAATATTTGAAGATATGAGGAGCAAGAGCCTTCACAACACAGGGAGCACATCATGAGACCCAATAGTAAACTACAGAGATTCTTACAGTATCTAAGTCCTACATAATCTATGTGAATTAAATCACAATGCTAATGTACAGAAATTACTGTACAACTTGAGGGGAATTGAACTTTGACTAATAAGCAAGTGTCTGAGGGATCAACACTCCCAAAGCCTTCTACCTGCTGCTCTTTCTGGGCCTGGGAAGTCACCCTCTACCCATTTAACATTTTCCATGTTTGAGATTTAAAGTTTCTATTAACTGAGATCAGTAGCAACAAACCATATCATAATGAGATTCTCATTTGGAAAAAATAAATAAATAAATCATAATGTTCAAACTTCACAAAACTAGAACATAAGTTTCAGAAAAAAAGAGAAAAAAGAAAAAAGAATCTCACATTCAGAATACACACTGGGAAATTATACACCTACTTTCACCTACATGAAATTTTGCATCTCATCTCCTGGTCGGTAGAAATTATGACATACAGATGGATCAGAGGCATAAGTATAACAAAGCACAACTGACATCACTCACTCACTCTACAATAATAATGTCACAGAACACAGTCCCCCTCACTCACTCACCCCTTGACATTAACGTCACAGAACACAGTCCACCTCACTCACTCACCAACTATAGATATTCTGCTCAGCTACAACACTTCTGGTATTTACAATGGCAGTTGATCTTTGAAGTTTGTAGCCTGAAGGACAAAACATACGAGCTGGCGATGCAGGTTAAAGCTGCATGCTTCATTCGTTCCTTATCACAGTCCTAAATGCAGAAAGACAGCCTTTTCCAGGTAATGGGAAACGCGAATCACGAAAGTTACGTCATGCTCTGTAGCGTGTGATACTAATCTTAGGCAACATGGTGCTGTCCAATCACTGGGAGGATCATCTCTCTTAATCTGGGCCAGTATACACAAAACTTTTAAGTGCTAGCAAACAGTTGTTAAGGTTGACATTTTCCTGTTAAGCACTAATAGTACATACGGTATACAAAACTTTTAAGGGCCTTAATAGTACTGTTAAGTTAAAAGACCTCGGGAGCACTTTTAAGTCCCGTAATAGTCGTCTGTCAGTTGATACCCTGGCGAACGAACAACAACATCAGCGGCGGCAACGTATTTATCGGGAAAGGAGAGATATATTTAATGAATATAGTGTGTATATATATTAAATACAGTATGAATATATTGTGTGTATTCCCTCTTTATAGCAGAGATCTTCTTTCTTGCCTTGGACAATACCGAGAACAAGAGTGTCTCACACTCTGCCACTGACCTCACCACACCAGGAAATGCAGCATTGACTCTCAGGTGATTTCCAGCCATGCCCTCTTTGGTTATTTTTTGTTTACCACCCATCACCTTTTTTCACATGAAAATTTTTTTTTTCTTGCTGTTTTAGATGATTCTGACATTTATCTTTGGGGCAAATCACTGGGTTTTTTTTAGTTAGGTTAGGTTAGGAGGTTAGGACGTGGCCTGTTAGGTCAGGTAACCTAACCTAACTAAAAAAGGGTTAGGTTACCTGACCTAACAGGCCACGTCCTAACCTCCTAACGTAACCTAACTAAAAAATGTGATTTGCCCCAAAGACAAATGTCAGAATGATCTAAAACAGCAAGAAAACTAAGAAAAAAAAAAAATTTCATATGAAAAAAGGTGATGGGTGGTTAACAAAACGAGAGCGACGCTGAGTGTCACCATAACATCAAATTGGGACTTCGAAACATTCGTGATTTTTACAACTAATAAATCGCAAATATCACGTTTATTTTTTAGAATGCGCCGCTTAATTCAAGTATATTCTTTCGTTACTCGATGAGATCTAGTAAATGGCAAGAAAAAAATCGTAAAAGGTGATGGGTTGATAACGAAAAATAACCCCCTCTTTTGTCTTTATCATTCAGGAAAGCCTTCAAGCGACCATTCAATATTAACTTTTTCTCTTCAATAACATCCACCAATAATAAGGTCTGGTCCACTGTCCAGTTGGGCTTCCTTTTCTTTTGTGGGTTGAGACTTCTAATTTATTCAATAACATGTTTGTTTACAACAGAACGGCAAGGAAAAGTCACCGACCACTATCCTTGGTTAATAAATCCTCCTTCAAACTGCATAGATTAGATTATTTTTTATTTTAATGATCAAAATGTATATAAATGTAAATATTGAAATTAATTTTCACAATTTTATAGATTTTATTCAGCCATAAGACCATTTTATATGATGAACTCCTGCTATCTTTAGCGCTGTTTAGCGGTACTTAAAAAACAACTATTTGTGCGGTAAAAGTTTGCTAGTTAAGCTTTGTGTATAACTTCTCAATTTTACTGGTAGCTAACAGTACTATTATGTCATTAACATAAAAGTGTTGTGTATACCGGCCCTGGTATATAATTTCTTACTATTAGTGTAATCACAATGACAACCTCCTCTTAACACTGGTATATCAACACATTCAGACTCTCACAACACAAATCACTATTTTACCCCTCAAAGCCTTGAATGATACCCTGTCAAAAGACTTACGCCAAGTTAAGGCTTACAGAATACAGGTATACAGAGCCTAACGTATAAAAGTACAAAGAGAAATATTTCGTTTAAGGATATGGTTTTAGGTGTGAGGGCTGCCGAGGTGCCAATGTTCTAAAAGCAGTATTAACTAGCCGATGCAACACTCCCTCTCTCGGTGCCTGGTTATTTTGATTCTGCCTTTGAAATTTAGTTTTGTCAATATGTACCTGGCAGCCAGAAATAAAAAAATTTCATGGGAATCCTGAAATTCCACAACTAGTAATCAGAAAATAGAACCACAGTAATGTCAAAACCCTCCTCTGCTGGCCGAATACCGTACAAACAAGTATCACATAGTTGGGGTCGGGAAAGTCTGGGCTATCCACCATAGGGGAGCCTCAGTAAATATCTGTCGGGATAATCCATCAAAGATGCCGGTAAAGGATTCATGCGCATTGAGAATGAAATGATGTACTCTCATATAGGTCTGGGAGAGTGAAGGCCATGAGTAAGTCCGTCGATGGCAGGATCATGGTTGGTGCCAGGAGGACCCCAGTCGTGGAGGCCAGCTGAATGGGATGGGCGGTGAGTGAGGCGGTGCGCAATACTGAAGCCCCCGCTACTCTCCAGCTGTGTCAGCACGATGATCACTTGTCTGTGGAAGTTGTTAAACTCTAATTTTCCTCATCAATGAAAAAATGTGAATACTGCATTGAACATTTTTTAAATGTAAATACCTGTACAGTACTTGAATACACTCGATCAATCAATCAGAGTACAGTCCTCATATCTGAGGGTTGGTAACCACAGTCCTCCACTCAAAACGTTCTCTAAACTACTGTATCGTATAAGAAAAACGACCACAAAAAAGAAACTACCCTACTGGGAAGAAGTACAGTATCTGATTGCTTTGTTGGCCATCCTTGATCAAATTGCCCTATTGTTTACCATGATTTGTATACCAATACTGTCTAGGTACACTGGGAAGTGCATACCTGCACAGTCTATGTACAGTTGTACACAGTATACCTGCATTGTTTATATATATGCTGAACTACATACCTGCATTATCTATATACATAATGAATTACATACATGCATTGTCTAATACCTGTACATAATAAACTACATACATGCATTGTCTAATACATAATAAACTACATACCTGCACAGTCTATATACATAATGAATTACATACATGCATTGTCTATATACATTATGAACTACACACAGGGATGTCCTGAAAAACGACGTCCCAATAACCACCGATTACATTGAGGGGAAATACCACACAAGTTTCATTGATACCCCAGAGATCGGATGATCGAGAGAGGAGCAGCAGGGTTGTTTTAAATATGGCAGGCGGTGGTGGTGCAAATTCTTGCCATGAGAGGACTTTGAGCACTGCCTCTGACTCATTCCCGCCGCTCTGCACTTGTTTACCCTTACCATGTGTCTCCGACTTCATGTTTTCATTATTTCCGACTTTGTGTTATGCAGCCATGCCTAAGGGCCCCAGTGATAGTTCCTCTTGTGCAGGAGCAGCTTGATGTGATGTGATAAGATGTAATATGGAGTATTAAGACATAATAAGAGTGGTGATGGACTAGCAAAGATTGGTAGAGATTTGAACTTGCCACCCTAGACCATCTCTACCATCCTCAACACAGGTAAATAACAGTCTTAATTTATGCTTTACATTCCTTATTTAATGCTTATTATGCTTGCTTTATATGTCTGCTTTATTTTCTTGCTTGACAGTGTGCGTGACAGATACATATCAAGGGTAGATGGGAGCTTTTGGAGGGTGGCCGGTCCCCAACCCCCTGATTTTGTTATATTCTTAGGGGATTAATTGCTTCGATAACCGTTGATTCACTAACCAACGACGTTTCACGGTCTCTATGTGTGTTGGTTATTGGAGTATGCCTGAATACCTTCATTGTCCATACACATGCCGAACTACATACCTGCATTGTCTATATACAGTACATAGCACACCGATAGTAAACTTGCATGACAATTTTACTGAATAATAAATATCTATCTACTGTATTTATCTAGTTAGTCCTGAGCAGATATACTGTAAGGACATAAGAAGATAGAGCATGCTGGGGAAGTAAGCAAAAACTGCTTAAAATACACGTGTTTCCGTGGAATATTCCTTCACAAAGATAAAAAAGCATTCCTGACTTGATCTGTAAGAGGTCCACGGGTAGTTCCACTCACCTGTGAAGTGGAGGTACAGAGTCAACAGTCTTGAGCTGAGCGCGTGTAGAGACAACGTTGTAGCTCTCCCGGCAGTCACACATCACCTGAATACACTTATCAGGATGGCGGTTCTCCACCATCACCACCAGTCCTGCCCACCCCTACAGATAAGACTCAAGCTTAATCCATCTGTTTATAAAGTACAAGATTTTTAAGCCAAAAAAGCCATATCAGACAAAATTGATACAGAAGACATTAATATATTTTTAGAAGCACTGATATACCTCTAGAACAGAGTCCCGGCCTGGGGAAATTCATAAAGTTAGTGAAATTTTTATGCATTATGCCATCCCTGTCAACATGCATCTTCAGTAACCGATTCCAGAAATAATTTAGTGTAATGTATATGTAGCTCTTTCAAAAGTATTCTGCCTTCACAATCAACACAATCTGTAAATACCTTTCCCTGATACAATTTTCTCAAACTAAAAAAATACTTAATATTATAAAAACATGGTTTTGTAATTATCCAGACTATAACATTGATCACATTGTAAATACAAATGAAAGATGTATTTCGTCCATATAGATCAAGTAAATAAAAAACAAAAACAAAGTTAAAACAAAAGTGTTGACTAGCATCAATAACTCATCCTATTAATTGTCACATTCATCAACCTCATCCATTTCTTCATTATAACTGATGACATGTGAAAAGTTGGAGCATCTAGACCCCCAAAAAATGGCCACAATTCTGGGAACATTCCAGGTTGTTCTTCCGAAAAGAACATCTACTTGAGCTGCAGTCTGTCCTACAGCTGCATCTAATAGTGTACAGTACTGTAATAGACGACAGGAAGTTAAACACCAACTCCAGTCTTCGGCCCTAATGGTAGAAACACCTTTCTTCTGTTGGATTTGAAGATATACCAATACAGTACTCTAATACTATGGAATTTAGCAGAAGTAGTCAGCAAGCTCTGATACATCACATGTGACCTTTTCTTTGCAACCTTCTTGCAGAATTTCCTGTACCTGTACCATTAAAATATGATGATAGACACTAAAGTGTGGTTTCTATCCATATTAAGAGTAGAAATCTGGCCACATTATGCATTCAACAGAGGCCAATGTGGCTCGGACTGGGACTTTTTATATGTTGTTAGTAGTACTGAACGGTAAAGAAATCAACAAATATTCCTTCCGTATCAATTTTGTCCCTGTGAAACTGTAAGATGCCTGGACTAATATCCTCTACACAACTTCCAAGATATAGTCAACAGTATATTATTACCTCTGAACAGTAAATCAAAATAATTGGTGAGCAGCCAGTTTGGTAGTGGGAATTTTTTTGTATAAAACAAATCCAAAGAACTCGTTCAATACCGAACTTTGTTATGAAAAAGTTCAGTATTTTTAGTCTGGATAAATTGTCATAATAACAACTTTTTTTTCATATATAAATATAATCTGGTAAAACAAGAATTTTATAAACACTAAATATCGTACACAATCCAAAAACAAATAAATATTGTACAAGAGGTAGTTCTATATTATATAAACAGTTCCTTCCCTGGGTGGCTGGTCAGCTGTTTCCCAATGTAAACAAAGCACCAGGAATTTATGCAACACAATAACTCATCTGGTGTCGATTGTGAGATTTTTGGGGGGATAATTTATTATTTGACGATAATGTTTTATTAACCAGGCACCATAAGAACATAAATAACAAGGGAATTATCGTGAAATTCCATGCTGTATGGTACTGTCATTTTAAAAGGGTCGCACACTGGAAGGAGGATATTTTCCATTCAGTCCAGTCAGCAACCTGCCTTATTGCCTATCTTTCCCAAACAGAATTCACTTCCCACTCTTCATTTTAATTATTTTATAGTTTTATATCATATTTATTTCTAAGTGACATTAGAGCAATTCTATTACAGTTATATTTGAGTATTTGAGATATTTGAGGAGATATTTGGTAGAGGGTTCAGAATACAGGTAAGAGTATAGAGAATTTGTTCAGTATAGAGGTAATACTGGAATCTGAGGATTAGTTCGGTATACTGTACAGCAAATTTCAACATGGAGAGGTACTGTACTGTAACACTGTACCAGTAATAATAGATAATAAAAGCATCCATCATTTTAGCAATGATGGTTCTGCATAAGATATCAGAGAGAGAGAGATGGATGGAGATTTTGTAACAGTATTCACATTCCCTTCACTAAATATTGCTGGTGATCAGTGGTGAAGCATCAAGGGGCATGGATACTAGCTCCCCTTGTTTACCATCATCATGGACAAATGGCCAATATATCCAACTTTTGGATGCTGGTGAAAATAATTTTACCGGAAATAAATGTGCTAACACCAGCTACAAGCACTTGGAACACATTAGTTGACCAAACAATACATATTTTATGTACTTTATAGACACACCTGCCTTTGGGACAACTATGCCATGAGGTAAAGTTAAAAAAAAATTAATCGCCAGAATGTGTGTACAGTACAGTCTAAACATCACACAATTTTTGGTTTTATGACCACTTTTGGGCTAAAGTATTGAAAAATAACACAATTAAGAGCTTTATGAATTCATCCCTAAAATCTGGGTGAAAATCCTTTACTTAAAACATACAGGATATGGGTAATAAATGTATGAAATAAATTAAACTTTGAAGCAACTAGCAAGAATTACATAATTTTATCCCAGAATCTGAAACAGCATGTTCATAGGCACATTTAAGGATACTGTGGGGGAAAAGAATATCTCTAGTCTATATTCAGTCCAGTACATTAACCACTGTACTTGTGGCCCTACAAAACAATCCCCCAGTAACTTTGGTGAAGGTTATTCCATTTGTTTACATATTAATACTTTTAGTTATTGTTCATAGTTTAACCAACCTTGGTAAGATAATAGACAGTCATTCCTTGTCGGCCTTCATGACGCTGTCCTTTTGCCAAGCACAAGTTGATCAGAGAGTCAGCCAAGAGGGAGGATGGGGCCGTGATTTGTTCTACTGCGACCCGTTTGCTGCTGTGAATTGCATGCACATACCCAGGGTAGCCATCAGAAACATCCAGCCCTAGTGAGGAGAAACAGGTAATGGAACAATTTAAATTCACATAAAATGATCCACAAGATTTCTACAGAAAACCTCTCGTCCAGGAGATGATTGTGTCCTCATCAGTTTAGTGACAAGGCTGTACTGTATAAGCAGCTGCTCACTGGTTGATCAGTGGCTGGTGAGGAAAGAATTTCAAAATTTTTTTGGCAAAGCTTTGAAACAAATTTGGGCTAATACTGTACTGTACTGCACTGTACACTACCTGCCTATAAATGTGAGTGTCAAAAACTCATTCCTCAAATTCTTTTGTCTAGACCCACTGTCAACATATACTGCCTGTGTTCCACTGAGCATCTCATGAATGTTGAGGACAAAAGTTTTCTCTTTTTTCTTCATGTACTCATTGTTTATGGGCAATGTATATTTACATATTACCTAAACTCACATGAAGACAAGTCAAGTACAGTACATTCTTAAAACCTTAATTTCTCTCTTCTTGACTCTCCCTCACTTGGTTCATCCATTCCATCTTCATTCTCCCTTCACACCTATCCACCCTTCACACCTATCCACCCTTAACTAACCTAAAGCAACCTAGCTCTTTCATCAAATTTGCCACCTTACACATTTCCATATCAACAGCCTATCAGCAAGTTTAAAGTAAAAAGCAACCTTTGACACATAACTATACAACCAAAATACTAAATGCTCCATGCAAACAGGGGCATATATATAACAACTTATTTTTCATACCTGTATGCCAATGATTGAATGCAAGGCATACTGCAATGTATGCTCCAGGCTCAAGCATAGCATGGCAGCCTACAAAACCCCGGACTTGCCGCTTGGAGTGCTTCACCAGCGCTCCAACTGTTGGACTAGCAGTGGTTGTAGTGCGGAACAAAACCACACACAGATCCAAGGGTGATCTTTGGGAATTTTCTGAATTTCTGTAAATAAAATAAAATGAAATATTAATAAACCAATAAAAAAAACACGTTAGTTTAATTTCACTTAGAAAACATGAAAATTTAAGTTGCATTATAGGGACTAGATAAGATGTATGATAAAATAAGAAAGACAAAATTGATTCATATTGTGAGTGAGTGGCAGTGGTGTAGTGCTAAAAAAGAAGTGAGGGAACACATTTTGAAAGTGCTACTCAGATGGTGGGGGCACTGGCGAGCCCATACAACTGGAGGTCCTGACTGATTTTGGGGGGTCAAAAGAGGGTTTGGTGGGTGGTGGGCATTAACATTGGGGACAATATCATTTATATCAATGCTTAACTGACCCTTGCATACGTCTAATCAATCTATGTTCCAATGTTGGTAACAAGCGGTCCCATTGTGTCGGAGGAGTTTCGTGACAGACAGACGACGACAGACAAATAAGCTGTACCTCCAAGATCCCTATATCCTACTGTACTGTACAAGCGGGCGACATTTTTACCCCCCGTTTCGATGCCAAACCCTGCTAACGCATGGCTTGATAATGGTGATGTGTAGCTTATCATGATTCCACAGTCTCAAAGCAATACAATTTATTAAATACAATTTAAAGAATAATCTATTTAGGCTCACCTTGAACTTTTGCAGTCTTGGAGAAATTTTTAGCATAATTTCCACACTGAGTCCACAGTGAGATCCTTGGACTTGGCTATTCTTGTTTGTGTATCATTTGCTGAACGATGACACCTAAGCCATTTGTGTACGCAGTCGTCTGGTTTCCAGGTTGGAATCAGAGGACCGTGAAGTTTAATAAACATGAGATTGCTCACACGGTTGATTAACAGTCTAGACCTCGCTTCCGTCACGATAAGGTTCATGCTGCTAAAGCCTCGTTCTCATTCAGAAGAGCTGCATGGGATTACTTTTGAACATCTGATTAAAGGCTTCAGCTCTGGCGGAATATGTCGCCCACCATTGTCTAGAAAGTCTCTGTATGCTGTGATTGTTTTTGAAAATGGAAATCTAAAACATTTACAAAGGGACTCTATTTCATTTTCTCCAAATCCTGGATTTATCTCAGCTGGCCACTTATCAACTTCTAAGATACCCAGCTCAGAAATTTGGAATGGAGTCAGAAGTTGCTGGTTGTGACTTTGTTGATTCATGGGAAGAAGTTGATGTGAATAACCATTGTTTCATATTGTTTATGATACTGGTTAAAAACTGACCATGATTGATTGAGACAATCTTGTTGTTATCTGTCAGTGTCACTGATGCAAACTTCGTTTCCTTAATGGCATTTTCTGCTTCTAAGACTTTTTTACCCTTGCGTTCCTTCATTGCTTCTAAAAATCGTATGCTGCAACGAATTAACTTGTCTGCATAAACTATAGTAATATCCCTTTTCAATAAGGACTCAGAAAGAAGAGATAATTCAAATAATACATTGTACATAAGTGCCAGATCAAGGAGAAACTGTTTTGATGAAATGTGTTTATGAAGCCCCCTGAAGGTACACTGGTCAACAGAGATGTGTAGTCATTCCAAACTGCTGAAACAGTTCTGAAGGAGCTTGAAACCCATCTAGTTCCTAACACTCTTCCAATTTTTTCATCTGCTCATCAAGCTTCGCTGCACACTGAATTTCTCTTTGGTTCTTAGGAGATTGACTGTATAAAGAGTACAGTTTATCCATAAATGAATGAAAATGATTAACACCATGTACTTCAGAAATTTTATCTGCTATTGACAATTCCAAGCGATGATTTAAGCAATGCCATACTATAATAATAGGGTACTTCTGCAACAGTCGTTGAGCCACACCAGAGTTTTTCCCCAACATTACACTGGCACCATCACTGGTAAAAGCAATAAGATTGTCCTGAAGATAATCATGATCAAACCCGTGCTCAGCAAGACAAGTAAGTGTTCGCTTATTGTTTTTGCTGTTGTATCAGGTAATTCTAGTAAATCCAGGAAAATAAAATGTGGATCATCTGACTTGTTTGTTTCACATTTCAAATAGACTATCAAAGTAGTTTTGATACTAAGAGTGGTGGACTCGTCTATTAAAATGGCTATTTTTCCTTTTATTTCAAGGATGCGTTTGCTTACTCTTGATTTCATTTCTTGTGCAACATGGTCTATTATATTTGTAGCACTAAATCGTGAACGCAATCCTTGTGGAATGTCTGTGCCATTTAATTCTTGCAATTGCAACAAATCAAAATGGTCAGTACCTGTATATAGTTTATAGTTTTTGGCTATATAATATGCAGTTCTAAATATTTTGGAGGTAGCCTCTACTTCAGATTTATCTAAACGGTCCACGATAGTTTCAACTTGCTGTTCCCTTGCACTCTGAATAATTTTAACAGCACTGATGTGTGACTGCGACTTTGAATGAAGCAAAAATTTTTTTTTCAAGGATGATAGTTGGACTGATCTTGTGCTGCCGTTGAAAGAAACTGAAACTGAACTCCATTCTTTGGAAACACTAGCACCCTGTGATTTAAATGAGCCTAGACTTGTCACACTAGAGCATGACACACATCCGATTTTTCCGGAATCACTCACAAGCCACGGGTAAGCCTTTTCATATCTTCCCACATCTCAACAGTCCAAATTTCAGGCCATGCAGACTTAATTATATGTTCTCCTGGCAGTGTCACTTCAGTGGAATATGACACACCACTATTAGTAGTAGCTTGAGGAATTACTTTTCCACACTCAATATCACTTGTGGAATCACTTGCACAAGGTAAACTTTCTTCTGCGTGTTCTATTACTTTTGGGGTGTGAAAAATTATTATATGGAAGCTTGTTTACGTTTTTCACTCATTTTTGAGGGTACAATGTTGATTAAATAAAGATTTTTGGAAATTTTGGGTAAACCACCAAAGCCTACATCACTTGCATTGAGCTTCGGTTCTCAGAACGCCACTATGTAATTTCACCAGTTCTGTCAATACATACAACGGCAAAATAACAGTCTTCTAGACTTCCACCAGTGTCAAGACAAGTGTGTGCATTTTCTAGGTGACTTGGTAAGCCACTAAACTAACATTCCTAGTCAGCACTGCAGGTCTGCAGCAGCATCAGCACATTGCGCTGAACAATGCTGAGTATGCCAGTTTTTTCTGAATGCACATTATTTTAAATATTTACAAATATTTCTGCTGCTTATTAAGAGAATATATTATACCAACGAATTAGAATAAACTAACTTAAAAATATATAAAACAGACAAACTAAAATAAGACTCGGCCTATTTTTAATTTTTTACCAGATTTAAGGTATTTGGCAACCGAGAACACTAATGTCCAAGTGAGGGGAGCGGCCGCCAGCCTGTAAGAAATGGGAGGGAGCGGCTATTATTATGTGAGTTTTTTATAATTAAGTAATGCGACGATGCCGCAAAATCACAATTCCTCAAAGTTTATAGGCTAACATTACCTCAGTTGAAGCAAAGAAACAGTTAATGATTCTTTCTCATATTTCTTTTAGGGGTGGAAATAAAAAATTTCATTAAATTAGAGAATTGTATGGTTGGATTTATTTGAAATAGTGAGGGAATGTCGTTCCCCCTCCCAAACAAAGTAAGGGAACGCCGTTCCCACGCGTTCCCACAGCACTACACCACTGGTGAGTGGTATGTACAGCATTAAAAGACAGGTTGTGTTTGTATTTAAGTCATGGTGGATGGTATGAGTGAATGGATTCAACAATTGTAATAAAATAATAAATAATAAATAAATAAAACCAATCTAGATACAGTACTGTATTAATGTGGTTGAATGAACTACAAAGACTCTTTAGTGACTCCCTTGTTACTATCACGGTAGTGTTTTCATGGGCACCCACAATCCTGCATCTTACTGTGGTTATTTAAACTACGTACAGTATGTGGCACTATAAGAGAACGGCATTTCCATTTTTAAATGTTATCCACTTCTTTATCAACAAGACTTTTGTTGTTGGTGACTGTAGGTATCCTGGCCACAACAAAACATTAAATATTTCTCCCAGAAAGTGGTTTTTACTCTAAACATAATCCCTTATGTGTATTTAATAATAATAATAATAATAATAATAATAATAATAATAATAATAATAATAATAATAATAATAATAAAAATTATAATAATTATAATTTATGGTTTATGGAAACAACATGGCAGCCAAAAAGCTGAAAACATAGTTACATAATTTGGGAACACATTTAACACACACAGGAGATTTTGAGGGTGCTGTACTGTATATTCTCGGGGCCCCATTGACATAATCTGTAATTAGTTTATTCATATTCCTTCTTAACAATAAAACAAAAATGTAATACAGCTCCTCTTTTACTTCAGCTTCCCCTGACCCAAAATATCAGAAACAAAAGAACTACTCCACAGTATACCTTACCTGTGTCCCTCCTGGAATAATGTAAACTCCACCTCTGTTGGTTCAAGTACTGTTATTAGTGTTGGTGTGAGAGCTCGACGATCTGCCAGTGATGGCAGAGACCCGGTGACACGAACCTCTGACCAGTTGCTGTGAACCTTGCAGATGTCGATGCAGTCAAAGTACCTGGAGTAAACATTTGGAGTGGTGAGCCCTGGTTGCCAACCCCCAAACTACAGGATGACAACATGACATTAATTAAATTTAACTGAGGTTAAGTTACAAAGGATAAAATACTATACAGTAATAAATTAGTTTAGTTGAGGTTTGGTTAGCATTGAAATGTATGCAATTGTTCTGTGTCTGACATACAGTAGGGTCTCAGAGTACATGTATCCATAGTAAGTGACCCCGCTTAAACAAGTTTAACCCCCTGAACGACACTTACACTTGGGTTTCGCTCTTGCAAGTCTACCCATACAGCATCTCTCTCTAGCTCAACTTGTTCATCAGTTGTTCAAGCTCGTTTGAGAAAAAATCATTATAATATTCTAATGTGGCCTAGAAATAAGGGAAATATTTTATAAAACTCTACATTAAGAAAAATGAAGAGCATGGATGTATATGTGTGGGAAAAGAACGTTTGTGTGTGGAGGCAGCGGGCTTTAACTGCATAACCAAATCACCATACCAGTCCTGCTCCCTCCCTCCAAACTACGATGCAATTCAGCTGGGTGACTGCCAGGCTGAGCAGCTGAACTGTCACATCGCCCAGAGGATGGTTTGACTGTGGAAGGAGCTATACAATAAGCTAAGTATCTGAGAGTACTGTTAGGAGGAAAGGTGGATTATGGGATAGGGTGGAACAGGAGGTAAGCCTCCATTTTACTTTTAACAAATTAATTAATAAGTGTCTGTGTGTAAGTGTTACGGTATACTGTACTGACATCTCGCATATTTTATAACTCTGTGTATTGGCAGTACTGTATAGGTTAATGAGAAAGTAACAAGGGACCCAAGGAGTTAGAGGCAAGTAAGCCTAACTCTGTTTTCGCGCCATCAGCTGTTGAGGGAGGATCACCCTCTGTCACCAGACACACGGTATCAGGACTAGCATCTGACTGGACGTGGTGTGGTGGCTCACACTGGTTGGTAAGTCTTGCATGTGAACAATTACTAGTGGTTATAGGTTAGCTTAGGGCATGCAGTAATTTTTAGTTACACTGTAGGTATTACAGTATAAACGTCGATATAACACGCGAAACGTTCCAAGAGAGGTCGCTTTAAACCGAATTCGCACTAAAAAGACTGACAGACAAACCAGATGCACCTCAGCCCATCTCCTAGAATAAACAAAACATTGTTTTTTGTAGTATTATGTTAAGACAAACACTCATAAATCAACACAGCAAAAATTATGGGACGTGTAATGGTCTGTTTACTAGCGATCAGCTGATGGGAAGATGGGGTGGTGGGGGGGAGGTGAGGTGAGGTGATTTGTTTGACAGTTGATGCCAAGGACTAGTGCTTATTTATTTATCTGTCCTTAAGAGTGACTACGTTTTTCTCTTATAAAATGTCACTGAACTGGCATGTTCTAATTAATTTTATTACAAAGGGCTAAAATTTTTATCTCTTGTGCAAAATATATGATGTTTATTCTGTATTCAAATTATTCGCTGTCTTGCAAGGATTCTAGCAATGCAAATTATATTCTCCTAACTTAGTCTGTGACATTATATAGGATAAAAACTGTAAGCCTATAACCACCCAACCCTGGCTGGGAAGATGGGGAAGGGAGGAAGGGGAGGTGACAGTGACATGTTTGACAGTTGCACCTTAGGTCTAGTGAAGTATTTAGTATTTGTTTATTTGTGTCCTTTAGATTGAGTTTTTGTTTTTTGTTTATAAAATGTCACAGAAGTGACCAGGGAAAATACAATTTACAGTGCTGGAATTCTTATAAGATAGTGATTAATTGGAATATAGACGTAGCCTCTGTCTTACAGGCAGAAGTATTTATATAAATGGGTTAATTACATTTGATTTATATACTTTATCACCCTCTGTAACTTTCCACTAGCTATGAGGTAGCATGTTCAGAGCACGTGATAAGGTGTGCCCATGGGAAGTAGCGTCACTTAGTGCTGAGCTAAGGCATTAAGTAGCCGGCTCTCTGGCCACCTGATGCGGGCAGTAGTTTGATATCCTTGACGAGAGGAAGACGTCATTGAGAGCCATCGTGGATGGTTCCGTCTTCCCTCGAGGGAGGACGTATATTACCGTTCTCCCTCAATGGGTCCCTACTCATTCTCATTCAACTATCGCATCGACAGGACGTACTTAGCAGAGCTATTTAATATAGCCTCCGTCCTCATTTTAACACTCATAGCTACAGTGAATAAGTTACGGTGATATACACTTGGAACTGTATATAATATATTTTCTTAAAAAATACAGAAAGGACAGTTGGGTTTTGATACTAAAACCCTATATACTTTTACATGTTCCAGCCCCATTAACTCATCAAGAATCAACGGTTAAAGGGCCAGTTCATAATCATGCTATAGTTTGCACTTGACAAAAATTTTAGTAATCATTTAGTTCATTATTTTGAGTACATGTACAGTACAGTTTTGTCCTTAGGACATTGTAGCGTGCCCAGAGAAACATTAGGCGCGAATTTTATAATATGATGCGCCAGATTGAATCTTACAAAATAGGAAGGATTCGTTTTAAATTAAAACATTGTCCTTAATTGTGGGTGTCGCTTTAAATCAATAATCTTAAATTGAATCGCTTTAAATTGACGTTCTACTGTATACAGTATACTGTACTGTATATGTGTTGTGTAAAGATGTTTGATTAATTTATAGCGTACGTGACCGCTGCTGACTATCAAGAATTGATTGTTTACCTGAGTTGTAACCAGTATTAAATCCTCACTGTTTCTTTTCTGTAGATAATATCATTTTCATTATTATATTTTTAAAGTAAACTTCATATGGTGTTTGTTGCCACACCCTCAGTAGCTAGAAAATGATGCACTGAATAAACTGAGAACAAACTAAGAGCAACTGAAAATGGGTTGAACAATGAAGTGTGTGAGTTATTTGTTGATGGACCACGGAGGCTGAAAGAGTGTAATTACCTGTTGGGCCAGGTGAGATCACTATGGTAGGGTCTCCAGTCGGCTTTTGAGGTCGTAACAGTAACCAATACTTATCACACTTAAGGTAATTATTTGTCTTTATTTTTTTGGCACATTCTGTACGAAAGATTGTGTGCACATGTAACAGAGTAAAACACTGAAGAAAATTATGTATCTCTACAACCAAAATTTATGAGTTAAAAAATAATCATCACATAACTCCGGCGTCCTTCTCTCTCTCACACTGGTTCTGTGCTGGTAAAGTGTTTCTCTGCTGGTGAATTTTACTACAATCACGGCCCTAAGAGGAAAATTAGTGGCAGTGATTGTGGTGGTACGAGTGAGAAAAAGAAAAGTGTATACTGTACTATGAGACCTTTTGAAGAAAAAGTCAAGATATTGGACTTATTGTGGAGTGGTGTATCGAACTCTTTAGTTATACATATATATTATATACATACACATACATATGTATGTGCTGTATGTAATATAAATATACAGGAGGGAACTAAATATAAGCAAATTCACACTTATGCGGGGATCCCATGAACATAACCCTCGCGTACACAGAAACCCTACTGTATAGATGAGGAATATTTCCTTTGTTATTCAGCAATAAGTCAAGTTACCTTCATTTACAATTTTTGTAATTAGCCCCACTACACTGATTCCTCACCTGCCCCTGCTTCCAAGGTACAGTTGCTTCATCTACTTGTACTCTACCAACTGAACCCCAACTGAGCCACCTGAAAATGTTAAATAAGAACAAAATTTGATGGACTCACTTTAGTACATCCTGAAAAGAAATCCAGAAGACACCATCACTGCCACCCTGGGGCATGAGCTTCTCCCGCAGGTCAGCCGTCCAGATTTGAGACTCGTCACACCAATCCCCACGCCACGAGTAGTGGCCCCAGGGGTTACGAAGCCTCAGTAACCGGAATCCACCAATGTCTTGAACATCCAATACAGAGTACGCATGTCTGAAAGTTAAATTTAATATTTAAAAGAATTCTTCAGACTCTGTAGAGTAAAAGTTTTCAAAAAAGTCTAAGCTGTAGTACTGCAACATAATTTTTTTTAAAACATGATGGCCATGCAAAACCCAAACCTAGGGTCATTTTTTTTTAATTTATATAAATGAACTATTTTCACCCTCTAAAACTAGTGTATGTACAACCTCTAAATGGCAGTCTTTAAATTCTAGTTGATAACTGACAAAACAATAATGTTGACAGGATTTCACACACAAGTTATCTGCAACAGATAAAGGACATATTTCTTTAATTCACCATAGATGATACAGTGAACACTGTAATAACAAAATCATAAAATTACCCATCAACTTCTTCACACCACCATTTCATATAATAAGGTAAAAAAATTAACTTTACATGGAACAATAATTTCTATGAATATCTATTAACACTGATATTTATGTATATTTTCCTACATAAGGTTAAAAATCTTAAAAGTAGCCGGTACTGTATAACTTTACTCTTACACTTGAGTCAGGTGGCTCATGCTACAGTACGTTTATAAAATCCTTGAAGATGGTGGAAAATATAAGGAAGAAATCCATGATGTGAGTGGAGAATGACACAGCATGGTTCAAACAATCAAAAACATCCTCACAACACAGTAAGTGAATCTTTAGCCCCATACTGATTCACAAAGCTTCACAATAATTCTCTATGCAAGCAAGTTGTCATCAGAGTCATTGATGTTCATACCTGTGCTAGTACAGCCTGTGTGAAAGGATTCCACTGTACACTTTCTACAACAAGTCTTTGAACAATATCTGACATGATACATCCAGTTATCACTAATTCACCTTTGTAGTCTCTTGCTGCACTTATAATGCCCACTGAATTGTCAAGAATCTGAAGCATGATTGGCCAAATCAAGAGTGCAGGAACCTATCTTAATAATTATCTATTCAGTTTCCAATGTATACAAACTATACATACCTGGTGATTAATCTCTTGGCTTCAAAAGTGAGTAAAGGACACAGAGTCCTGTTACAAAAAAACATAGAAAGACACAAAGTCTTGGACTCTGGTAGGTCTCTTACCTTGGTCTCAATCCCTGAGATTTATATTCTTCATCCACAACCTTCATGTTACCTCCCCCGCATGATGCACCCATCAGGAAGCCAGCTGAACGGGAACTAAGCAACTGTGCCCATATCAAGTCTTCATCTATGTCATCCTCGTGTGGGGATGAAGAAGCCTAACAAAAACAAATAATATTAGTAAATGTGACAATCTAACAAATATAAAAAACTGGAAGTACAGGTTGAACCTCCCTAATCCGACACCCTTTGGACCTGACTGGTGCCGGACTATAGAATTTTCCGAACCACAGGTGGTCTTTGTGAAATACATAGTATTATTGATGCGCCAATCTGGTGCATCATATTTAAAATTTTGCGCCTAATGCTTCTCTGGGCACGCTACACTGTCCTAAGGGCAAAGCTGTACTGTACATGTACACAAAATAATGTACTAAATGAATACTAAAATTTTTGTCTAGTACAGTACAAACTATACCATGTTTATATTCAAATTAATCACGATCTTATAAGAATTCCAGCAATGTAAATTATATTCTCCACAGTCACTTCTGTGACATTTTATAAGCAAAAAACAAAAACTAAACCTAAAGGACATAAATAAACAAATAAATACAGTATAGTCTCGTTTTACGCGGTCAATTACACCTGTGGAGGTCCGCGTATAACGCGAAACTCGTTAATGAAATAACAGAACATATGGGATTAATTGAAATAGAGACTGGGCCGACCCCCAGACTACCCTTTTTCCAACACAATATGTACGTTGTTGTAAAAATAACATCTTAATTTTATGATGGTATGCACACACAATTAATATTTAAGAGAAATATCAATAATATTAGGTTTTTTAACACTTACGTTAGTAGAAGAGATGGCTGGGCACACGGGGATGGGGGGTTGGTTCCGAGGCAGAGGGCAGATTATTGGCCCTCACCTGTATCACTTGTATCACCTGTATCACTATCCACCACAGAGGCTAGCAGGGCCTCCTTGTCAAACCCCTCAAAGTCCATATCCTCACTATCACTGATTTGGACTGGCTGTGGTGGGTGGCGGGTGAAGAACTCGGTTATGTTTTGTTGACTGGGCGACCTAGCACACACCCTGCCCGAACCGCTTCCCTTGTAAATGATGGAATGTACCGTGTAACTAATAATTGCCACGTCTGGCCAGGTGCCGCGTAATCGCATAAATCGAGACTATACTGTACTTCACAACTGTCAAACATGTCACTGTCACCAACCCTTCCTCCCCCCACCCCCTCCCCCTTATCTTCCCAGCCAGGGTTTGGTGGTTTTAGGCTTAACGTTTTTATCTTATATAATATCACAGACTAAAGTTAGGAGAATATAATTAGCATTGCTGGAATCCTTGCAAGACAGCGAATAATTTGAATCTAAACACCATATATTTTGCACGAGATAAAAATTTTGCTCTCTGTAATAAAATTCTTAAATTAGAACTAAAATTTGTATGTCTAATACGAGCTATAGCATGTTTATATTCAAATTAATCACTACCATATAAGAATTCCAACAATGTTAATTATATTCTCCCACGTTAGTTCAGTGACATTTTATAAGAGAAAAACTTAATCACTCTCAAGGACAGATAAATAAGCACTAGACCTTGGCATCAGCTTTCAAACATATCACCTCACCTCCCTTCCCCCCCCCCATCTTCCCAACCAGTAAACAGACCATTACACGTCCCATAATTTTAGCTGTGTTGATTTATGAGTGCTTCTTTTAACATAATACTACTAAAAACAATGTTTTGTTTATTCTAGGAGATGGTCTGAGGTGCATCTGGGTAGACTCTCAGTCTTTTTAGTATTTTGTGTTTCTCTCAAGTTCCAAACTAAATGATTCCATTTAAACAACAATTCGATTTAGTGTGAATTCGGATTAAAGCGACCTCTCTTGGAACATATCTCGTGTTATATCCACGTTCTACTGTACAGTGTACCGTAATTGTAATAAACGAAATTAGACAAACAATAATTCTCATTCTGCACTTAAAATGATAAAATAGTTATGGTACCTGTACATAAATTGGTCATGTTCACCTGTAAAGAAGAAAAAAATATCTGTACAGTAAATGAAATAATAAAATAAATATGTTTAGGAGGCATATTAAGGGTAAATAAAAAAAAAATTACACACACACTTGAAATACCGAGGAACGCACCAAACTCCACGAGGACCAGATGTAAACAAAGGGTATGCCGAACCATTTTTACTAGCGCCGGTGGGCACTAGCGGACTTCCGGCAAACTAAAATTTTGCCAGACGACGGGAGGTGCCGGACAATAGAGTACCGGATTAGGGAGGTTCAACCTGTACTTCAACTTTTGCTATAATGCTTGATATGAGTACTGTACATAGTAATGATAAGAAATGCCATTCAAAAGCATCTTACATGTCAATCATCAAGCATAGACCTTTTATAAGTTCTGTATAAGTAACAATACTGTACATCTATGCACTATACTTATTTGTTAAAGTAAATAATTAGTCTAATTTAATTCTGGAACAATAATTAATTTCATGGCAGGCACTCAGGAATGAGGCTTTCTGTGTTGTGTGAGTGAGTAGACTAGTACAGGGGAGTTCATCTGTGGCGATAAGGTCATAGAGACAACGCAATTTTGGTACACTTTTTAGTTAATGGAATATGACCCTTAACTACCAACTGTTTGTCTGGGAGAATAAAAGATTGAGGTAGGACAGAGGGTAAAAACCTGAGCAATCTTCACGTAATTATTCTTCACAAAAAGAAAAAAATCTTAAGTCTATAAAACATAAAATCCCATTTTCTAGCTGAAGGCAGAACACCCCATCATAAAACCTGCAATTATTTTGGGGCATGAAAGTTCAGTGGCAGGATGCTCTATTAAAGTGAATAACATTTGCAGTGATATAACTCTCCACCTGTTCAATATGAGATGTGAACATAATGTACTATAAATGTTTTTTAAGTTCTAGAATTGTATATTGTGTCACTGTACCAAAGAATATCTGGTAATTAAAGTTTAATGTTTTTCTTGTAGTATAAGATTTAAGGTCAGATCAATAGTATTTGCCACTCTAGGTCAACCACTGTGTTCCCTGTCACAGCTAAAACAGTTATTGCTGGACCTACTGTTATTTAAACCAAGGCCAGTCATGGGAAGGAGAGAAATGCTATAAAAAAAAACTGGATGTAACTGGACATCCTTCTCTAAGAATCCCAAAATCAGGAGAACCCATTTGTCAAATGGCAAAGAAATCTTGAGTAGGGCAACAATTATATGGTCACAATGTATGTACAAAGCAAAAACTGCATAATATTTATTAATAGTGGCCATTCTGTGTGCATTTCATAACATTTCATGATTGAAATGGCTGTCATGTAAGTATGTAATGATCAATGATTCTTGGAATAAAAAAAACTGTTGAATAAAACTAACCCCCAAAGTCATGTAAAGAAAGGAAGGCTGTCAAGAATGTTCAGCATACTGAGATCTCACCGGTCACTCACCAAGGAGCACAGACCATAACTTCACCAGGAATATACCTGTAAGGGAAGGCTCTCACACGGTGCTCCAGTAAGCGTGGCTAGTCCCTCTATGGCTCGACCAGACACCAGAGCCTCGTAACACCCATGAACCTTGGCTACAGCTTTCTCAATGAGGGGGACCCACAGCTGACGTCGCTTGGCTTGAGAATACACTAGACGACAGTGGCGGTCACAGGGGAGGAGGTCATCCACTAGAACGGTAACCCAACGTCCAGCCTTACACAGACGTACCTGCAGTTAGAAAACAACAGTTGTCTATCCGTAATTAGAGTAAAAATACTGCACGATGAAGGATTAGATGATGGTGCAAATGCATGCAAAATGAGAGAAATGAAAGCAACCAAGGTACTTCGTGTTTTCTTCTTTCCTTGTGGTTATCAGCATATACCTAGATCACGCGCACCTACAGTGATTTACTTGCATATATATATATATATATATAATCAACACCTCAACCCGCCAGGATTCGAACCCACGGCCCACAAGCCTATGACTGTGACCGGGGAACGCTAACCGCTGGACCACCAGGATACTAAAAGCAGTCCTAGACTTTGTTATATTTCACACAAAGCCTGTTCAACGAGCTTTATTGCTTTATTGGGCTAATGAAATATATATGGATCCTCGTGTTTCGAAGCCGGATTTGGTAAAACGTTACTCTGACCACCTACGTGATACGGGTGGTCCCCATTAGAGGTTCACGGCGCCATAAGCTCGTTGAACAGGCTTTGTGTGAAATGTGGTCCCCATTAGAGGTTCACGGCGCCATAAGCTCGTTGAACAGGCTTTGTGTGAAATATAACAAAGTCTAGGACTGCTTTTAGTATCCTGGTGGTCCAGCGGTTAGCGTTCCCCGGTCACAGTCATAGGCTTGTGGGCTGTGGGTTCGAATCCTGGCGGGTTGAGGTGTTGATTGCATGTAGAAGTCCGCGTGCTTTATTGGGCTAATGAAATATATATATATATATATATATATATATATATATATATATATATATATATATATATATATATATATATATATATATATATATATATATATATATATATATATATATATATATATATATATATATATATATATATATATATATATATATATATATACAGTGACCCCTCGTTTAACGAACACCTCGGTTAACGTAATTTCGATTAACGAACTGCCTTCCATAAGGATCTTCAATTCGGTTAACGAAAAAAAATTCGCTTAACGAACTTCTTACGAACCGACCTCAACATGTTTTCGCTTGCACTGACCGGGCAACCAGCTTTAGTATCAGTCCGCCAGTACATTAATCGGTTCTAGGGCTTAAATTCCTTACTATTTTTGTAAATATCAAGAAGTTTATACTATTCAATAATTTTAAAAGTTTAATATTCAATTTTTTAGTCATTTTAACAATTATTGAACAAAATTGAAGGTAAAGTGACTAGTTTAATGCGCGGCATCCAGCCTCTTAACACAGCAAACAGGCGTCAGTCTCTCTCTGTTTTCACTGGAGGTAACATCTTGCTTGAGACTCTCTTCAACTAAATGCTTTTTTTCTGTGTTTCCAAGCAAATTATTGGTCATTTTGAAATATATTTTATATATTGACAATATATAATGCAGTGCAGCATTGATTTAAAGAAAATAATCTTGAATTAAACCAGAGAGCTAAAATTTTATGGGTGAAATGGCACCATGGGGTGACTTCTCTTCCACCCCAATGCCTTCTCTTCTTCCTTCTCCTCCACCCCCATTCTAAATCCCATCATCATCATCATCATCCAGGAGCCTTCTACATACACACCTCAAAGTAAGTGAACTTTTCTACCATTGTTGTTGAATTTAGGAAATTTTCGGTGAGCTGGAACCAATTACCCAAAAACCCATTGAAACAATGGTTTCGGTTAACGAACGTTTCGGTTAACGAACGACCTTCTGGAACGGATTGAGTTCGTTAACCGAGGGGCCAATGTATGTTTGTATGTATGTATGTATGTATGTATGTATGTATATATATATATATATATATATATATATATATATATATATATATATATATATATATATATATATATATATATATATATATATATATATATATATATATATATATATATATATATATATATATATATAAATATATATATATATATATATATATATATATATATACACAGTGGGTATGCTATAACGAACGGATCCTACTACGAATATTCCTATAACGAACGGTTTTACCTATAAAATTGAGAATGCTATAACGAACGCAACTCCTACAACGAACGCGGATGAATACGGGACTATTTCGCCTGGCGCATGAATATTGTTGTACCGCGACCCACAACAAGAGCGTCAGGCGCCATGTTTTTCTCATTGTGTAGCCAGTGCACCACTGTTATTGTTGAAATTTCGTCTTTTAATGTGGAAATTCGCGTTATTTGTATAACTATTTTGTTGTACAAGTATACAATTGTAACAATGAAGCGTCCAAAGCGAGTGAGAAAGCTAATAACCCTTGAAACTAAGAAAGAAATTATAAAGAAACGTGAGAATGGAAGAAGCATTGCGAAACTTAGTGATGAACATGGGATGGCTAAATCGACTATATGTACGATTTTCAAGAATAAAGGGGAGTTAAAAACAGTGCAAGTGGCTAAGGGAATCTCTAGACTTAGCAAAGCAAGGTGTAATGTGATTGAAGAGATGGAAAATTTACTCTTAGTGTGGATAAAGGAGAAAGAAATGGCAGGTGGTAACATTAGTGAAGCTATAATTTGTGAGAAGGCTAAACAATTGTTTGAGGACCTTAAAGCCAAGACTCCCAGTGGAAGTGATAGTGCTGTGCCAGTGTTTAGGGGTACCTGCATGCTGAATAACACTAAGGTAAGATAAAGTACCGTATTTTTTACATTTTCCACAGAATTTTTTCAGTGTTAAGTGGTTGTATTTGGGGGCCTGGAACGGATTAATCCTATAACGAACGAATGCTATAACATACCTATGTTGTAGTAAAAATAACATCTTAATTTTATGATGGTACATGCACACAATTAATACTTAAGAGAAATAGAGAAATACAGTCGCCAAGTTAATGTCCATTCAAATAATGGACTCAACTCCCTCCCCCTCTCACACTACACTGCCGGCTCTTCCCTCTCAGAGAAATTTTTGGGGGAAAACCACTAAATTTTAATAAATAATACCTCAAACTAAAGTTAGGATAATACAATTGACATTGCTGGATTCCTTGTAAGACCAGGAATATTTTGAATATAAATGTCATATATTTTGCACAAAAGATAACATAGTTACCTAGAGAAAAATTTTATCTAAAATTTGTATGTTTAATGCAAAATATATGATGTTTATATTCAAAATGATCACCAAATTATAAGAATTCCAGCAATGTAAATTATATTCTGACCGGGTAATTTGTATGAATTTTATGAGCTAAAACAAATATCTTCAGTTAATAAAAAAAAAAATAATCTTCACGACACTATCTGTCAATCAAAGTACCCCACCTTGCCTCCCCCCCTCTTCCAACCGCGCGGTCAGTCCCAACCCTCCCCCCCACCCCCCACCAATCCTCCCTTCCAGGGTTTTTAACATTTAGTATTAAATAATACCTCAGATTAAAGTTAGGATAATATAATTGACATTGCTGGATTCCTTGTAAGACCAGGAATATTTTGAATATAAATGTCATATATTTTGCACAAAAGATAACATAGTTAATTTGAGAAAAATTTTATCTAAAATTTGTATGTCTAATGCAAAATATATGATGTTTATATTCAAAATGATCATCAAATTATAAGAATTCCAGCAATGTAAATTATATTCAGACCGGGTAATTTGTATGAATTTTATGAGCTAAAACAAATATCTTCAGTTAATAAAAAAAAAAATAATTCTTCACGGGGTAACAGATGGTCGGTCGGTCCCTCCCTCCCCCCCACCCCCCACCAACCGTCCCAAGGAGATGTGTGGGATAACCACTAAATTTTAATAAATAATACCTCAAACTAAAGTTAGGATAATATAATTGACATTGCTGGATTCCTTGTAAGACCAGGAATATTTTGAATATAAATGTCATATATTTTGCACAAAAGATAACATAGTTAATTTGAGAAAAATTTTTATCTAAAATTTGTATGTCTAATGCAAAAATATGATGTTTATATTCAAAATGATCACCAAATTATAAGAATTCCAGCAATGTAAATTATATTCTGGCCGGGTAATTTGTATGAATTTTATGAGCTAAAACAGGCAGTCAGGCAGGGTGGCGGGTGGGGCAAATCTAAAAATAGCGTCTCGAGCCGGACACTCACCGCGTATATGTGGAAAAAATCCGTGTTAAGTGAAAGTTCAGCTCTGGCGAGGCACCGCGTATATGATAAAACGCGTTAAGTGAAACCGCGTTAGGCGGGGTAATACTGTATATATATATATATATATATATATATATATATATATATATATATATATATATATATATATATATATATATATATATATATATATATATATATATATATATATATATATATATATATATATATATATATATATATATATATATATATATATATATATATATATATATATATATATATATATATATATATAAACGTGTGTGTGTGGAGACGTAAATCAGATATTGGCAGCCCAAAATTATGTAATATGTAGTAGGCAGCTACCAAACAGGGAGGTACTACCGCCTGGGAAGATATTGGAAGCATTATCTATTGTCTAATGATAGACCCTGCTGCCATATGACATCAAAAAAATTGTGACCAAGTCCCAGGTTGCTGATCTGACTTTCTGCCTCATTTACACACAATTGCAGGGTCTCAATTGTTTCTCTTACTTTGACAACACAACGTACATCTATCGTTTCTCACTACTGTATTGATCTATTTCTTTTTTTCTTTTTTATTTAGTTATTATTATTATTATGATCATTTTATCTTTTTTTTTATTATAATTTTTATTGATTATTAATTTGTAGTAATTATTATTATTATTAGATCCCCCAGGCCCTAAAGTGGGTCAGTGACCTATGCCCGGGTGAGCTAATGCCCGTAAAAATAAAAAATAAAAATAAAATTAAATGCATTTTAAATGTCATTATCTTACAAAAAAAATTTATTTTTTATTTTAAGAATTTTTGGAAATGCTGTACTATACAGTACTGTGCAGTGAGAGAATGAAGTATGTTCCCAGCTTTGGCTGAAGTATAATGAAACCTGAACACCCAACACAGTGAATGGTGTTACTGGCAAACCCTTCCAAAGGTTCCACAGGTCTGCCAACTGTTTATGGGCTCCACTCACGCAGGTGTCAGATGGTTCTGCCTTTCTGCAATGTATTCATCAAACTCCGGAAAGATACTTCACTCTCTCACTGTACCTGTATTATCATCAACATTTGTTGTACAAAAACTTACATGCCTTTCCTGCTTAATACTAAATATACTGCATTCCTACATTGGATATTTTACAGCTCCAGCCACCTCAAGTTGTGTCTACTGGTGGGTAGCTTAACACCTCAAGACCCCCACCTGATAGACTCCTTCTGGACAGAACTCCCGAGTAACCATGATCTTCTTGACGAGGTCGTCCCTCTCGGCCAACACAGCCAACGCACTCAAGAGCCAGCAGTTACCCAGGACACCTGACAAAATCCAGTAGGCATTAAATACTCTTAAATACCAGTAGACGAAGAGCCAATACCATTTACTTCCTATATGTCTCTTGCACATGAAGATACTTGATTAATCTACTCTCATGACAAATAAAGTTTCTCTCTCCCCTACCTTTGTCTTTCAGCTATAATGTACTGAGTGTGAATATACATTTCTACAAGATCTTTTCTACTTTCAGCATGGTTATATAACAGTTCATACTCTGCTCACCTTAACTCAAATATAGTACACACGGTCTTTAATCTAACCTGGTCATTTTTTTTTAAATCTCTTCCCTAAGCCTGTTCATACCATCTTCACATTCCTACATCATTCTGTTACTGGTTTTATCCCTTTTCACTTTTCCTCCCTGATCTGTATACCTTGAGAAATATCAGATGGAAGAGGTGTTCTGAAGACTGCCCACTTGACATTACGATTGTCTGAGTCTGTTACAATTTCATGTGGACGCAACCATTGTGTTACACGAGATTCATACTTCTCAGATGAGCTGTAGAATAAGGACTTCGGCACAGGTGGAAAGGAATCGTCTACAAATGGATGTTGGTTCTGAAAACAAAAGAGAAACCAATTACACCTGTATCTTAATAAACCTAACCTAGTAAGTCTTTTAAGTTAACTACTCCAAATTTCAAAGCATTGCACTTATAGTTACACTCCTGATATATCTCCACTGTAAAAAAAGCATATTTAAACAAAACATTCGTACATGAAAGACTGATCCCAATACCACAACATGCGATTACTGTACAGATTATGGATTTCCTTAATAAGTAATACAGTAATGTTCTATGGGCAATGTTAAGGTTTATGGAAGTGTAAGTCTGATGTATAAGAGACCTACAAGTAAGAAATACCCCGTACATGCTTGAGGTTGATGTGGGGTGGAAAATAAGCACGCACGCACACGCACACACACACACGCACACGCACACACACACACGCACACACACACACACACGCACACACACCATTCAACCCTCAGTGAGATAGGACGTGTCCTGTAGACACTCCTGGTTGGCTGCCAGGCATAGTCTGTTTAGCCCTGCCCCGCTGCTTTATCTCAACCTCACTACACTGGGATTATCAGCAAAACATTCAAGTGATCAGTGCAATGACTGGTTATCAAACAGTGATCCAAAAGTGTATTCCAAGTGAAAAACACAAAAACACATAATTCACAGCAATCACCAGTGAGCAGTGTAATACTAGACCGTGGGTACTGTGTCGGCGACCCTCAAAGGGCCAAAGACTACCGCGGTGTTTACGACTAGACAAATATTAACAAATGTCTACCAGTGTACTACACCATGGAAACTAAGTCGATGGCCCTCAAAGTGCCGCCATTGAGTTTAAGGCCACCACGGACAAACACTTCATCTGTCCACAACAGCAGATATCAACATATGTCCACCAGTGAAGTACTCCAGGCGCACCCTGTACAATTTAAAGCGAGGGAACGGGTATTTCGATCTGGTTGAGAACCTCTCTGCGGGTTTTTGTCATGACAGTGTCGAGAATATCCCATTTGGTAGTGGGATTTGGGTTGTTTGCTGTTGGGTTGATTATCGGCCCATGTTCGAGCTGCTCTCTGAAAGCATGTGCTACCGCTGGATCCTCCAGACGCTTAGTGTTAAAGCCTCTTCTGGAGGCTTGCTGCCTTCGCCATTCTGGGGCAACGTGAAGTGAGAGCTTGGCTCTGACAAGCCGATGATCAGTGTCATGGTGGTCTGAGCCACGCATGGCACAGGTGATAAGTACATCTCGGCGATTTCTTTATCTGACAACAATGTAGTCAATGAGATGCCAGTGTTTGGATCGTGGGTGTTGCCACGAACCCTTGAATGTGTAGGCCTGCCTAAACAAGGTATTGGTGATAGTGAGGATGTGTGCAGCACATGTGCTGAGGAGGAGTAGGATTACACTTGTCTAGTCCGTTTCTCCCTATGATTCCCTGCCATATATCATCATCTCTGCCAACTCTGGCATTTAAGTCACAGAGGAGCACAACCTTATCTTTTCTAGGGATACAGGTGAGCACTCTGTCAAGGTTGGCATAAATGGCCTCCTTTATGTCATGACGTGAGTGATTCAGTGGGACTCGGAGCGTCATGAGGCGCTCATTGGTCCGAACAGGCATTTCAGTTAGCCTATGTAGGATGCTTTGGTGGATAGCAAAGCCAACTCCATAAATGCTGTTTCTCTTCACAGCAAGCTTACCCTTCCAGAAGGAGGTATAGCCAGACCCCCGTTAAGTGAGCCGACGCTCGTCTGGGAGCAGGGACTCACTAATGGCTGCTATGTTGATGTTATACCTAGCCAGATCTTTTGCCACAATGGCAGTTCTTCTTTCAGGATGCTCATTTGTGCCAGTATGAAGAAGGGTCCTGACATTCCATGCAGTTACCATAAGAGGTATAGTTTGTTTTTGTTTTGATCTGTGATCATGATTGTGTTTTCGACTGCATAAGGATGACCTTACTGGGTGCAGTTGCCTGTCAGGTTGATCCTTTAGGCAGGCTAGGTTAAGCACACCTTTTCTAGCCCCCTCCTCATGTGGGGTGAGCAGAGTGGCTGCTCGAAAGAGCTGCTCAGTCGCACAGACGGGACTGGATTGCACTGCTGCCTAGATCCCAGTACATAAACAACCATCTTATCTATGCTGCCCATGTGCAGCGTTGTGACAGAGACTCCCGGCAATCATCTCTGACTGTCCCTGTCGCCACTCGCCCATCGCCATAGAACTTTTCGGGGTATAGGGGTTTTGATGAAGATGAGAATTATGATGAGCTGGATGATGGCTGCGCATGAGTTGATTTATGTGGTGAGGCAGGGGCGCAGACTACAACCTTACATCTTGGCTCTCCCTTTTCTTGATCCAGTGGTGCAAGTGTTGCAATGACTGGGGAGAGGGAGAGTTACAATGAACTGCCGATAGCCCAGTCTGTTGGGTTTCGTCTTAGTAGCCTGTCCATCTTGCATTGCCTTCATCCACCGGTGAAGTCGTTGGGTTCCCATGTTGGTCACCTCTTCCGCCTATACCGCCGTTGGGGTCTTACTGTAGCTCTGTAAGGATGTCTGCCTGATGCGGGGTTCCACCGCAGATTTTTCTTTTGGGGTTTAATCCCGTAGCGGCAAGGCAGCGGGGCAGTGGTTGGTAGGTGCCAGAATGTGTCCACATGCCAGTGGGCCTATGCGCCATCCCTCTGGGGCCCACTGCTGCTCCAGGATTCCTGCTGGTCTAGCCTAGGCCCACGGGGCACCCAGTTACCGTGTGTTGCCACAAGGGGACACAGTAGGAGTCTTGATGGTGAAGAGGCTGTGTACTGGCAAGGGAGGACTTATGCAAGTTGCTTCCCTGTTCGCCATGAGAGCTAGCCAGCGGCTGTAGCCGAAAGCAAGAGGACGCAAGCAGTGCTTGCACCTTAACACTAACATAATTCTGCCACACTAGATGCATTACACCACCCTGTGTGCGACGCACACATACACGCACACACACACAAGGTATGGATGAACGCATTACTATCCACAACTCCTGGATGCTGACAGTAAACAAACACTCCTGCATCTCCTTCTCAGGGCAACATAAGTCAAGAATGACCAAGGAATAAATATTTAAGAAAAAATATAATGAACAACATTCTATGCTTTTAAATTTTTTGTTAAGGTTCCAAGAACTTACTTTAACCAAAAATAAATGGGATACTGTAGTAACCTTATGTGTGTGTGAGACAGAGGTCATGGCTATAAACCATCCTTTCAACTTGTCTGAAAAATTAATGACAAGGCTACAGCTACTGATATTCAGAATCTATGCATTAATAATTAATGAAATCTAGTTGCACCAAGAATAAAAAATTACTAATCACAAACAAAATTCTGTAACATGACATTCAGTTGGTACTCACCACTTTGCAGTACTGAACAATCCTCGTCCACCTGTTCAAAGCATCCTGTACTTCCATCTCCCTAAGCACATCCATTAACTCTGAGTGTCCCCTGTAAGTTCGGTCGCACGGCCAGGTAATTTGAACATCTCCTAAGGTCGGTGAGGAGCCGCACATGGCACACGACACGGCACTGGCACTGTTATTAAAGGTACAGGCACTACAGTTCCAAGAGGAGGTAGACGAGGCAGAAGAGGTGAGCATTTCTCTGGGTCGAGCTACGGGAGAATTGGGCACGGACGACGGCGACCGGGGAGCCTGGGGTACTGCCGGGAGTTGGCAGCCCGCAACCGTGTTAGACTTGGGTATGGCTCCATTCCCCCGAGTAGATGTATCGTTGCACTGAGAACCATTTTGATTATCTGTTTGGGGAACCGTCCTGCTGCCGTTAGTAGCAGAAGTGTCCATCAGACTCATCCTCTGCAAACTTGGTGATTTCTGGGCACCAATACTCCAGCTTGGGCTGCTGATATGTTCAGACTTTGGTCTTGAATCCTTAGGCTTGGATTCATTATTTGAACTGAGCTTGTCTCTTGTACCACCAGTGCCATCAACTTTAGCTTTACATGCTTTGCAACGCCTGGCAAAAATTGGATTCTTTAAAGTACACACTACACATGTCCAGAACTCTCCTCTCTTGAGTGTGGCATCGTCCACATAACAGATACTTTTCAGCCTAGACCCCCCACACACCTTACATGCATTTTCTGCACCGGGATTCACTAAAGTACACTTAATACATGTCCAACTTTGGTCTGGTGAGTCACCCTCCTCAGTCAGGTCTGTTGTTAATAACTGGAAGTCTTCATCAAGACCTTGATTTAACACTTCTCGTGTCTTTGGATTTTTTTCTCGTTCCTTAGCACTACTGCACATATCACAAGTTTCTGACCACGAGGGATTGTATGCAAAGGAGCAAAAACCACATGACCACATGTCTGATTCAGCTAATGAGTATTCTTCCTGGCTGGCAGCACGTGTCAGATCCACCACAGGTGGCGACACCGCCATGGCATTCTCAGGCTTGGATTCCTCCACAACTTTTTCTGGGTCAGACATATTTGTTTCTGATGGAGAGGAAAGTCTACTGGCAACAAATTTGGCAAGAGATTCGGCAATGTTCAGATCTGTTGCGTCACTTACTGATTTCCGAAGGGAAGTTTTTCCTGAATGAGGTTTGACAGCTGTCTTTTGACTCGTAAGACATTCACTATTACCATTTTCTATGTCATTACCCGACACACCAAGAATGTTTTTATTTTTCTTCGGCAGAGTAGTCGGGATGTTTGGCTTTCGTGGAGCATCACACACCTCACAATATTCAAAGTCAATGGGATTTTTCAGTGTGCACCGTTTACACACCCACGTCTCTACCTCCTCATTATCATTGCTGTTACGCACACTATAATTTTTGTTTGTGTCAAATTCTACGACCAAGTTATCAAAGTCCTGACTACTAATTCTGTCAGCACTCCTAGAAGACACTGGCACGTACACTGGTTTATCTTCTGATTTACTTAACTTAGATCGCAACTGGCCATAAGCATAAGAAATTTGCCTCTTTGGTGACCGATTACATTCTGTGTCAGGGGAAGTTAATGCAGAGGCATTATTTCCCAGAAAGTAGAGACTGTTTTCCACCATCAATGATCCCTCCACCTCCTCCACGGGTGTGATCACATTATCTACTGGGCTATTGTAACCTAGAGTCAAACCGCTGGTGTTGCTGCCACTACTACCGATGAGCTTGATGCACGATGAGCATGTTGAGCTGTGTGCCGAATTATAGTGTCGGCACTGTTTACACTTCCAACTGAGCTTGACCGCTTTGGAGACTAGACTGTTTGAGCTCATGTTTGCCTCGGCGAAGACCCTAGATAGTGCTTGCCGAGAAGTGGGGCCATTTTCATCAGCGACTGGACTGAGAATCTCCCGGGGCACTAAGGACAACTTGCTGCCACGCTCAGCACCACAGCCACAGATGATGCATTCACTCGCATGGCGCACGTTCAGAAACCTACGTATAAAGAATTAGAGAAAACAATTATTAAAATCCTAATGTGCAACTTAAAATTTAACAACGTAAGAAGTTATCTGAACAAAAGCACTCTTATCATCTTATCACCTGTATGGCCATGGCAGCATACCATACAGCCTTATCAATATTTATGACTGATTATAATTATCAGGAGGTAATGGGAAATTATTATGTCATGAAGGAAGTAGATTATGTTATTAAAGATAAAAATTAACTGCATGAGTTCAGGATGGTCAAAATGTCACCTTAGCAAGTATTTAAAGTAATGATAGACTTATCTAATCAGAATAGAATGCTAACAGGAGGGTGAGTACAGTACAGTGTTTACATTAGTGTTTGTAGGAACATATACCACGAGGAATCCTTCATCATAGTATAAAGTAATTTACTGTGTATATATTTACTTCATCTCACAAAATTAATTATTACTGTATAAATGCTGCACTACAACCCAAACCCATAGTCGATATTACATGTACAAAAAACTATTAATTTTTGTCTCAATTTACAAGAGACATTTTAATACACGATAAAAGATATTTCAACTCATTTCCAAGACAAGTGGGTTCAAAACTGAGGACTAATTGTGCTACATATAATAAAGTTTATGTCTACAAACACAGACATAACACTACAAAGAGTCTCATCACACACTCCTATCATTTCACATGGAGACAAACAAGCACAGTAACAAACACTCAAGGTGATTAAGTTAGTGCAAACAAACAAAAAAATCTCTAAAATCGGGGATATACCAGAGAGTGGACTTTACCATCTGCCCAAGTACTGGATTTGTCAGGCAAGTTAATTTAAAATCACCATCCCCTTCATCACCCCCTCAGGCCTGACTCATCCCTCCACCTCAGTTTTGGTCTCTCCTTATTCTCACACTTACCTTCCTGCAAAACAGTTTCCAATCAATTTAACTATGGCATTGTACCTTCAAAAGATAAGAGCTTAACCTGTAGACCTTGAGGGAGTACAGTACAGCACTTGGTCTTATTACTCACTTGCAATTCCGACATGTCCACTTCTCCTTTTCATTTGTTCGCTTCTTTGCAGCAGTCTGTGCGAGATCGCTTGCACCGAGGAATGACCATCGGTGAACACCAGTTACTGGGTGTGATGCCTGTCAAGAAAATCAACCCTGGATAAAACAGTCAACTTTGTATAAGAACTGTGAGCCGGAGTGAGCGACAGAGGCAAAACCAAACATTCGTATACAGTTTCATCATTACCGGACCAAAGAAAAAACAAGATAAATATACAACTATATTTATGTGTTGATCATCATCATGTTAAGAACCACAAAGTAGAGTTACATGAATACTTGTGGTCATTAAACACACAGTAGCTACCTGTCTCGGTAAGCGGGGCCTCCATCTTGTGCATATGACGCACTGGTCCGTTGAGGCTACATTTAGAAATCGGCAAGAATTGCACGGCCATTTGCACCCATTATTAAGTGACTCACTCTTCTTGGCAGAATGTCGTCTCTTGCCCGTGTCTTGAGGCGTGTCGTTATCTTGGGAGTTACTATGATGAAGGATCTTTTTTGATGAAACAGAATCCTTGTGAGAAGTAATAATCTCCTCTGTTAGTCTAGTGCCCTTGACATTAGAGGCAAGGGTTTGAGAATCTTCTTGTTTCTTTACACTCCCGCCTCTTGCCATTCCAAACCATAGCCTGAAATATTAAAACATTAATTCTTTTCATGTGTGCAGAGGCAGCTATATTGCCACATCATGGCCACAAACTAAGCTGCTTGGCCGCCTCAGTGTGTGGTTATTGTGTCAGGCTTATGGCTTTTAATTTCACCAACTGCATAAATAACACTTAATCTGAGACAGCAAATTCAGCTTCAAGGAATTTTTTGCCGGAAAAATAAAATTGAGAACAATTTTCACAATCACTTTTCAACTTTATAATGAAGAATGACTAATTTGATGATCTTTATTTTCAGTGATCATTCTTACAACAGTAAAACACGTTTATAAAAAAAAAAAAAAATAAAAAAAAAAAAAAAATAAAATATATATATATATATATATATATATATATATATATATATATATATATATATATATATATATATATATATATATATATATATATATATATATATATATAAAAACATAAATAAATAAATAAATATATAAATAATATAATATATATATATATATATATATATATATATATATATATATATATATATATATATATATATATATATATATATATATATATATATATATAATTAAAAAAATTAATAAAAAACACATTAAAAATTTAAATAAATAAATAAATAATTAAAAAATAAGAACTCAAACTATGTTAACTGAACTTGTAGAAACATAAGTCCAATAATGAAATACATAAACTGCAGCTACCAGCCAAAAGTTAAAGCTGCTCCTGGTCCTTTCAGTGGTACAGTCTACAGTGACCTACTTTTACCACCAGAGAAGAGAAGAAAATGTTGAAGAGTAAATATAAACTGCAGCTTTTATTTCTAGTTAGACTGCATCTACTGCTGTATATAACACGATGGTCTTTAGCTTTGGGAATAAAAGGTGACTGAAAAAAACATAAGATTTTAAAAAATACTAATACAGTACTGTAGTGTATGTTTGTTTGTTTAGATTAAGTAACAGCAATTCCTATTACAAATAATTATCTGGCAGAAAACTTTCTTACAAGCAAAAAATATTCATTTCTGTCATATATGATGCTGCATCACAACTCTCACTCTTTAATTAAGATCAAAGTTGTTCCAAGATAATCAAACAAATTAATTCTTATTATCAAAATTTGTATTCAGTTCACCAGCAACAAAAACTGTGTACAATTATTTCATTAAGGAGACGCCGTTCTTGTCAGTAAATACCAGTATTACTAACCTAAGTGAAGAGAGAAGTGTTGCTTCAAACAAAGGCTAAGACAATATAAGAAGTATTTCCTACATCCTGATGAACACATAAGATACCTTTAGTCACAGCTACGAACCTGTTACAGCTACACTACTACAAGCACCAAAGAATCATTGTTTTATTGAACTTGAACCAAAGAAAAGTGTGACTCACTAAACAATACAGTCCAAGTCCTGGTTCTCACACTGTCCTCTGGCCCTCCACCTCTCACTCTCTTGAATAAAATCATAAAAAGGTCATCATCGAGTTATTTATTCATAACTTAAGATACCTCATGAGTCTATACAGCCCAGAGATGTTTTCTGCACTAATGCATCACAGGGAATAGTGATATATTGCAGCCTCCTGACCCTCCCACTGACCTAGTTTTAGTTGGTGTCCACTTTCCACTCACCCTTGATGCCATAAATTATTGAACTTAGAAAATCGTCCCTGAAATAACTACTTAACAACCAGTAACTAAGATATGGCTGAAAATTCACTGATCGGAACATGAATATTGCAACCCCATTTGATTGTATTTCTCTGGCAACTTAGACAAAATACTACGACCATAACCACTTCTTACCTTTTCTCTGGCCCTTAGCATCCCCGGGAGGAGGAATAAACCAGGTAAACCATGTGGAAGTAGGATAATGAGGCCAAATAAGAGGACAGGTGTACCCAATCTGCCCCTTTGTTCGTAATGTTTACATCGGGATGTCTGTCGGGGGGATGACCAGTTGCTATATCAGGGTACAAAAAAATGTAATACATTTTTTAGTCAAATATCAAATTAAAGATATTATTAAACCCATATAAATATTATGTAATTATTTCGGTATACATTACAGGTGGTATAATGTATATTACAAAATGAGACGATGCTGTAAAGTAATGATGTAAATGTTTCCTCTTGAGGTGTTTGGCAGATACATTGCTCGTGCGCGCTCAGCTGATCGCTGTAATGGCGCGCCAAATTTGAAGCTTCTTAATGTCAGAATCTTAATATTCTCGAAATAATTATGTTTTCATAAATTCATCCCTTAAATTTCCCAAATATTATAAAAAACAAATAACAAAGATAATTTTTAGCTTTTTTCATACAAAAACTTACATGTAGGCATCACGTAATTAAATAATTTAATTTAAATTTTGTTGGTATTATAATATAAATTTCATAGTCATCTACTGGAATAAAGCCTTTTGCCTGAACTCAACTTTGGTGATTATATATCAGTTTATTTGTTTTGTTTTTTTGTAACTTATAAGTTACCAGCATTTTACCACTATAAGTCTCTCTTAAAAAGTTGTTAAACAGATTGATATGTTTTCATATGCTGTTTCAAAAAACATATGAAATGCTAATGTTGGAACTTCTAAAATAAGATATTGTGCGATATCATTCAGGGTGTATTTATGAATTCATCGATATATCATCAAAACATAGACATATAGAGTGATACATATACGTTATGTCTCTTCAACATATACAGTATAGACACGTTGATTCTGAGGCGATTATCTCTTCTTGTTCTTCCCTTCCTCATCTCTCTTCGCCTCCTTCCTTTTCATTTTCTTCCTTTTCGTCTACTTTCTTTTCGTTATCTCCCTCTTTGTCTACTTCCTCCTCTTCCTCTTCTTCGTTTTTCTCGTATATTGGTGTGACTATCTCGATTGGTCCACCACCACCTCTAGCCATCCTTTTCTCCGGTTCCTGACTTCCTTTTATCCTTTTCACTACTGATCGGCTCGTTAGCTGCTGGGCGATCGGTCAGGGCTCTGTTACGCACTGTTGGCAAGTACTGGGCATGCATTGGCTCCTGAATGTACCTGAACCCGCTCCAGTGTTGGTCAAGTCTTGTCTTGAAAGAGCTCATACTCAGTGCCGTATTGTTCCAAGAGTTCACAACTCTCACTCCGAAAAAGTTTGCCCTCACAGTTTTCTGGACTTGCGGTTTCTTCAATCTTGAGCTGTGACCCCTTGTGGGGCAAGCGTCCGCCAGCTCCAAGTAAGGACACTCGACTGAATAGTGCCCTTTGAGATGCTTATACACCTCAATTAGGTCACCCCTTGCCCGTTTGTAGTATAAGCTAAGCAATATCAGGCACTCCAATCTCTCAGGGTAGCTGAGGTGCAAAAGTGTTGGCATCAGTCTGGTGGCCCTCCTTTAAACATTTTCAACCAACTGACAGTCCCTGGCATATCTCGGGGACCAGACGGGGTGACAGTACTCCAGATTGGCAAGCACTTCACTCTTGAAGATCGTTACGAAAGACAGACCGTCTAGATATCTGAACGACCTTCATATAAGACCCAATAATTTATTTGCCTGATTTACATTCTTCTCGCAATGGCCCGAGAACTTCAGCACATTGTCGACATACACACCTACTGTAGGTCCTTCTCACATTCAGTCTCAAACAGTGCAGTTTCTTCATCCCGTTGGGACATGTGATACGCCTTCTTACCGTTGGTACGCCCCAGGTGCATCCTCTTGCACTTCGTGACATTGAATCTCAGCAGCCATTTCTTCGACCATTCCTGGAGCCCACAGAGGTCCTTCTGCAGCTCTTCACAGTCAGCTTGGTTCTTGATTTCCCGAAATAACTTGGCGTCATCGGCAAACATTTGTATGGAGGAGTGTAAAACGTCAGGCATGTCATTTATGAAACAAACAAACAACAGCGGGCCCAATACACTGCCCTGTGGTACCCCACTTGTGACAGGTACAGATGATGATTTCATGCCATTAATCACCACACACACTGCTTGCGGTCATGTAGAAAGTCTTGTATCCACGCTAGGACATTTCCCCGAATTCCGTACCCTTCCAGTTTGATTTCCAGCCTTTCGTGGGGTACAATGTCGAAAGCCTTGGCAAAATCTAGGTGAATATTGTCTATTACCCCCCATTCCAGAATATGGGTTCCAAACATCCAATACCTCGAGCAATTGTGTTAAGCAGGAGCGCCCCGGCATAAAACCGTGTTGGCAATCCTTTACAAGGTTGTTTCGAAGTAGATGTTCCATTGCGGCATCTCTAATATTACTCTCAAGTACTTTACATATTATGCTGGTCAGGCTCACCGATCTATAGTTGTTCGTGGAGTGACGATAGGACTCACATAAGCCACTTTCCATTGTCTGGGGACCTTTTGTTCATCCAGGCATTTACAAAACAGGATCTTCAGGGGCTAGGCAAGCTCGTTGCATAACTCTCGTAGCACTCTAGGATGCACCATGTCAGGTCCGGGACTCTTATGGACCTTTAGCCTGGACAGTTTATTTCTAATACCCTCTTCTGTAAACACAATGTGGGTCAGTGCTGTGTCGAACCGTCTGTCCTCAAACGCAGGAAGGTTAATTGCATTTTATCTTGTGAACACCGAGGAAAAGAAGCTGTTTAGTGCCTCAGCTTTAACCTGGTCAGAATCTGCGTAACTAACATCTTCAAGCCTCAGGTCTGATACTCCTACTCGCGTTTTTAATTTCGACTTTGCATAGCGGTAAAACGCCTTTGGGTTTGACTTGACCTCGCTTGCAACCAGCCTCTGGAACTCCTTTTCAGCCCTTCTATACACTATCTTTGCTTGGTTCTGGCTCTTGCATACATCCTCCTGTCCTGCTCATCGTTTGACCCAACCCACGTCTTGAATTTCTGGGTTTTCTTCGTAACTCTGTCGACCGCCGCGTGGTTCATGTGTAGGGATCCCCTCGTATTCCTAGAGGCACTGGGTTTGTCCTTGGGTATATATTTATCTATCAAATGGGTTACTTTACTAGTTATGATATTCAGCGTAGTGTCTGCGTTCTTGTGCCTTAATGAGTCAGGCCAGTTGATACCTCTCATCTCTTCCCTCATTCCGTTGTAATTTCCCTTGTAATATTTGCACCTTGGCCTGGCCTTATCCTGAACTAGGTAACAGTTAAATCTGAATGACAACACTATATGGTGACTGGTGCCAATTGGGGCAAGGTGTTCCAGTTTGGCCACCATACCCTCCTCGTTTGTTATGAGGTCAAGTGGCTTGGTTGTTTGCTCCCCTCTGTAATGTGTCGGGACTCTAACATGTTGGAACAGAAAATTATCTCTCAAAGTTTCTACAAAAAGAGTAGCAGGGTTATTCAAGTCATTTGGGGTGAATTTGTTTCTCCAGTGGATGTCGCCATAGTTAAAGTCCCCCATGATAAGGAGGTGGCTAGGGTTGAGCATCGCCGCGTTGTTTATTGAGGTTCTTAAGTTCCTTTGATTTAGTGGGCCACAGTTTGGGGATCTGTAGATACACCCGACGATAAGTAAGTCCCCCTCCTTTTAATTTATTTTACACCACTTGGACTCTTCAATAACATCCTCTCCCTGTACCCTCGCCTGGCTGGCTCTAAGGTCTTGCCTAGCATAAATAACCACACACCTCTTGCAAGTTTCTTGAGAAAGGTTCGTAAATGAGTCATATCCAGCAATACTGAACTCACATTCCTCTGGGTCGATTCTCCTGTTCTTGTACACCAGTTCTACAACTCCTACAATATCTGGTTGGTGTACTCTCAGTAGTGTTTCAAACTCCTCTCTCTTATCAAGAAACGTGTCATTATTAGTGTACATGACATTCAAGCCAGAATTTGTTCTCGGTAACGTCTCTGCTCTTAGTAGTAACCCTGCCCCCTCCCCCATTCTCAGAAGCTGCAGCATTTGCTAAGTACACTGTATTTTGCAGGGTGTGGTTAGAAATGTCATTGTTTTCACGGTGCTCACCTCTTCCTGTCCGGTAGGCGGAGCTGGTGCCGCCTCCCGGGTGGGGGTTAGAGCGGGTGGAGGGTGTACTGCTGCCCCCTGGTCCTGTGTCGGCACACTTACTTCCACTACCCTGCGCCTGAATATGACCTATGTCTCGGAAATAGCGACCATTCTCGAGGAAAAGCATTCTGGACTCACTGAAGCACTGTTGGGGCTTCATGCCATAACAGGTTGTGAATTTACAACGTGCTTTTTCAGGAAGGGCAAAGTGAAGCCCTTTGAGCAGCTTGAAGCAGAGGAAGCTCAGAGTCATGTGACGGTATTGCGAGCTCTTACCTTCTGAGAAAGTTGATATTCGAGGTGTTACTAGCTTTGTCTGCTCGCTGCATGGGTTCAAAACGTCCGATATAAATGAGGCAAGATGTAAGACCTCTGTGGGCTCCAGAAATGGTCGAAGAAATGGCTGCTGAGATTCAATGTCACGAAGTGTAAGAGGATGCACCTGGGGCGTACCAACGGTAAGGAGGCGTATCATATGTCCCAACGGGATGAAGAAAATGCACTAGTCGAGACTGTGTGTGAGAAGGACCTAGGTGTGTATGTTGACAATGAGCTGAAGTTCTCGGGCCATTGTGAGAAGAAGGTAAATCAGGCAAATAAATTATTGGGTCTTATAAGAAGGTCGTTCTGATATCTAGACGGTCCGTCCCTCGTAACGATCTTCAGGAGTGAAGTGCTTCTCCATCTGGAGTACTGTCACCCCATCTGGTCCCCGAGCTATGCTAGGGACTGTCAGTTGGTTGAAAATGTTCAAAGGAGGGCCACCAGACTGGTGCCTGCACTTCGGCACCTCAGCTACCCTGAGAGATTGGAGCGCCTGAACTTGCCTAGCTTATACTACAGACGGGCAAGGGGGGATATAGTTGAGGTGTATAAGCATCTCAGGGGGCACTATTCAGTCGAGTGTC